GGGGCTGCCCGGCCCTCCCGGAAGGTGCCTTTAGCCCGCTGCGGTGCGCTCAGCGCGGCCGCCAGCCGTGGGTGCGCGCAGTCCTTTGTGCTGGGAAGTGGCCGGGCCAGTAACTGGGCGCGTGTCCACGCCCAGAGACCCCGCCGAGGGGCCTGGGCCACGGCTGTGTCTTGTTCCTTCCTGGAATGGGCTTTCTCTTGAGTTGACAAGTGTTCCATCCGCTAGTGTCTTAACCTGGGTGAGCTCTTTCCAAATTACCCTGCCAAACTCGGCTGACAAGTCGGTGGTCCGAAACAACTTTGTACCTAGATCAACTATTTATATGAATAAAATAAGATGCATCTTTAATGCATGACGCCGGCACTTTCAAGGGTTATTCATAGGTGGGTTTATGATGTGACTCCTGGGCAACAGAAAGCACCTTCTGTTCCAAAAATGCCTTGTTCCAAAAAGGGCGGGACCTTAACAAGGGAATTTACCATTATTAGAAAAAAGACTAAAATACAATTCCCTTAGTACAAGATATTAGCTTTTTTATGAAAGCTTTTTTTATGAGGTTTTCATGGGCAAAGAGATTCAAAGAGGGAGCAAAGCGCAGGGAAAAGTCAGAGGTGGGGGTCGTTGAAGACCAACTTTCCCTCACTTCATGGTTTAACGGGGCCCTGTATAAATTATTCTTGAAATAATTTTTTTGAACTTTGATAAATTTGGAAGATTAATGAAAAGCATGATTAATTTCACTCCTTTTAAGAACACTAGTAATTGAAAACTAACAAGTTAAAGGAATAGATAAGAATGAACTATGATTATCCTAAGTTTTCTGTATATGTGCTTTCTAGGTGTTTCAAAATTTAGGTTAATTGAATATGTTGCATATTTCGGTAATTTTTGTTTCCTTAGAAAACCCTTTTTTAATGGAACTATCAAAGGCAAATTTCAGAGCAGTCTGTAGCAATTATTATAAATTCTGAAAATGAATTTCAAATAATTTGACTTTACTGACCTTTTCAATTATTGCAGGAAACTTTGAGAAATCAGAAAGCCTGAAACTCTGAGTTCATGGAAGCAGATATTACCTGGGTATACTGGGATTTTTCTTGTCTTTCTTTCCTTTTTTTTTTTTTTTTACCTCTCTTTGACCTTTGCGCAATTGATTTTTTTTCCCACAAAGAGTCAGTTTTAGAAGATTGGAGCTAGGATTATTTAGAGTTTGAGAGAATGTGTAAAATAGTTTGTTTTGGTTAAAGACACATTTGTTTTCTTCTATTAGACTGGAAATCATTACGCTTGTATTAAACTATTATCTCTATGCAGATTATACCAGAATCTGCATCTCTTAGCACTGAACTCACTTTTGGGTTTGAGTCCCTTGTTTTTGTCTCCTTGAAATCTTCACCAGGATATTCCACTGGCAACTTGAACTGGTCATGTGTGCAAACTGAACTCATCATCTTTGTCACGGAACCAGTTTCTTCTCCTTTTCTTTTGTTAATTGTATCACCATCTTTTAAATTACCTGTCTTCAAGCCTGACTCTCCTTTCTCTGCCTTTTCTTGAACCGTCAGTCAATTGGCACATCTCTTGATAGTAATTCATTCCTACTAAGACCACACTTGTTGAGGTTGGCACTACCAGGACTTCAGCGCACCTTCCTACCTTGCTTGTGGCTTCCAGTCTGTTCCTGGTGTGATCCGTTCTACATGTTGTTGCCAGATAAATTATCTTAAAGCATGCAGAGCAAATCACTCTCTTCCCCTGCCCTACCAAAATAAAGTTAAAATCCTTGTATCTTACTTTTCCCCTTCTCTTAAAATTGCTTGACAGTCAGAATGGACTTTTCATCTTGCCCAAATATAGCACTTCCACGCTTCTCTGGTGTGAGAGGTGATTTCCTCTGCCTAGAAGTCCCTTCCTACCCCTGCCCATTATTGAAGGTCTGTTTACTTTCCCCAAAAAAGGCATCTTCTCTGATATTTCCAATTCCGCCTGGTCTCTTCTCTTTGGAATTCCCGTAACCCTCTATTGCTCCTTTCTTTTGTCACTTGTTTCCTACCGTCCTGCTAGAACAGGAGTTTGCAAACTTTTTCTGTAAAGAGCCAGATAGCAAATATTTAAGGTTTTGTGGGCCAGATGGTCTTTGCTGCAACTGCTCAACTCTGCCTTCATTGTGCAAAAACAGCCACAGGACACATAAAGAATGAGTGTGGCCATCTTCTAATAAAATTTTATTTACGGACGCTAAAATTTGAATTTCATATAATTTTAACATGTCACAAATATTCTTCTTTTTTTGTTTTTTTTAACCATTTAAAAATGTGAAAGCCATTCTTAACTCATGGCTGTACAAAAACAGGCAGCGGGCTGGATTCGGCCAACAGGCCATTGTTTGCCCTGCGGTACTCAGGGCCAGCTTCATAGGTGTGTGACAGGGCCTTGTGCTTAGAAAGGCCCATGATCAGTTTAATGCTCTCATGTCACCATCTTGAAATTTTTAATAATTTTTGAACAAGAAGCCTGCATTTTCATTTTGCACTGGGTACCTCAAATTATGCAGCCGGTCCTGCCTATACTGGAAGATAAAATCCATAAGCTCGGGATGTGTATTTCTCATGTTCGGCACGGTGCTTTTCACATAATAGGCATTCACAATGTATTTGTCTATTTTCTGTTCCTAAGGTACTGTGGAATAGTGGAGAACACGAGAGTTCGAGTTCAGCACCATTTATTAGCTGTGTGGTCTTGGGCAAATTCCTTAACCATGCTGAGCTTTGGTTTTCTCATCTATAACATGGGGATAATAACCTCTGCCTTATAGAATTATGGTCAGATAAAGTGCAGAAAATAGCCATATCTTAGCCCCTGGGTCTAGAAGAAGCTCAAAATTCGTTTTTCCCCTTTTAGGGGAAGTGAATTAATAGTGTGCTCACCCATAACCCTTGCTGTATTTAACCTGACGCAGATTTCTGATTTTTCATATTATTTACCTCCTTAAAAGTTTTACTTCAAATAACATCTGTACTTCACTAGTTTGATTTCAAAAGTCCACATAAGTAAAGGTCTTATTGCAAATCCAAAATTAGATTTGAAAAGACTCCAAATTTACAATTTTCCTAATTAACACAGTGATTATTAGCATTAACAAGAGTCATGCTGTTTAACTTCCAATTAAGCATGGTTATCAATAGCATTGATAGTCATTAACCTTAAATATTATATTATTTCATTCACAAATGAACAATGTTGAAACGATTCTTTCAAGGCACTTTCTCACTGGTTTTTCCCTCTGTTGTGTGTGTGCATGCAAATGCGTGTATGCATGTATGTGTGTGTGTGTATATATATGTATATATACACACACACACATATAGTGTATGGGATATCAATATAGTTCTTTTCTTGTACAGTATCCTGCATAGCTGGGGTTGGAAGTTGAGAAAGATAAGGAGGCTGCTTGTTGATGCAAAAGAGGAAAAACCATGGCTTAAATCCCCGGTTAGTTTCATTTTGTTTTCTTGGTCAAAGATTGTGTTCCAAACTCTATGCAGTTATTTTGTAAATCCTAGCACTTAATCACACGAGAGACCAGATAAGAGCATATTAGACCATCGCTGCTATAGGAAAACAACTCAGAGCTCATACTCTGCTAGGGTAGTTCCTCTAAGATTTCTGCTTTGGGGAAACCAAGTACTTATATATAAGAAAAATGAGGCAGCTTGGCATGTCTTCTACTCTGCATAGTAACTATAACTGCTTATTTGTCTCAGGACATATTTCATATTCTGCCTGTACTCTATTTCAGCACTTGTAGGCCTGACCACCAAACCTGCCTACACCACATGAGATAAACCTAACAGCTCTGTAATTTTGTCATGGCTAGTGTCCGTGAGGAAGGAACAGATCATACTTAAAATTTCACCCTTTCTTAAGCTGTAGCTGAGAAAAACCATGCAAATGAAAATGACATTCCCAGAGCCATCATGTAAATGAGTCTTAGAGCAGAAAACCACTGGAAGGACCGACTTCGTGAAATGCCCTTGTCATGAAATTTTCAAAAGAAATTTAAATTAAGAAAATCTTCAAAAGCCACATGTAGATACTTTCAGAATCTGGGCCGTCTCCAAACCAAACAGCTAATATTAATCAT